ACTCTATAATGCTCGTTTACAGGTTTAAAGTAACCGGAAATTAACTTAATCACGAAAAAGCTTTTGCTAAATATAAACATACCATACATAACCAATCAAGATAACCTCAAAACATACAAAACTACAATAAAAGTCACACACCCTTATTACAAACTATTTCTTCAAGAACCACAAATTACATTAATGGATTCTCAAACTTAAACTTTACTAAAAAGGAAGGAGAGGTTAAGGGTTTACCCTTAAAGACCAATATAAATTGACTCCTCCTAGCCTCTCTGATCACCTTCTTCTTCCTCTAAGGTTTGCTAATGTCTTGGAATTAGAAGAGTGGAAGAAAATTTGAGGACTAGAGGGGCCATTTTGTGTGGGACTAAGAGACAATAATGAGAGCAAATGGGAGAAAAGTGGTGCTTGGTTTATTTAGGTTCTACTTATAGACTTTTTCCTAATCTTGATTTAGCTCTTGATTAAGTGGCTTAAGCTAAGTTAATTAGAAAATTTACAGTCTGATACTAATCCCTGAATAATTCAATTTCGAATTAAATTCTTAATCGCGAAAAACTTTCGCATTGTTTCAAGTCTTAAAAATTTATTTCTAAACTACTTAAAATCTAGACATCACTTTTTATGTATTATATCTTCGAATGACACTGTTACCAACGGTCTCTATTCTTGAGCTTAGATAGCATTTTTTGGTACTCGCGTGACTTCAATTTAATTGTTCGGCAATTAAGGATTTCTCAAATGTCAGAGCATTTCTCGACATGCTACTAATATCGTACTATGCTAAAAAATTCTTATAATTAAAATTCTCAAGCTATTCATGGATTGAATTTCCTTCCGCCTAAAACTGCGGTGAGAATTATCAACCGTATTTACTTGATCATAAAACATGATCTTAACATAAAATTTACTACAAAATTTTAGAATACTGATATTAATTCCATAAATTCTTCAATCAGAAAATATAACATGATATTTAAAAAAAAAATCATTAACTTAAATACGTAAATTACATTATTTAATTTTAAAATTTTTTCAGTAATTTTAGTTATTTTGACACAGAGTACATTATCACGCCCTAGGAAGGAAAAGCTATGAAACACTTGCGAGCTAGGAATAGTGCCATCCGTTGAAAAAGTCTAAGACGAACACATAAGGAAAATCACGTCTCCAACCAAATTTATCAACGTGATCAATGAAAATATGTGAACAATTTTCCTTAAGACTTTTTCAGAGTTATTTGGCAAGCTTTTGTATGGTTAGATAAATTAATCCTTGCATTGGAAAACAACGACGACAAAAAAGTGACCAATCTACATTGGTGAAATCTGACGACTAAACTCCCCCTAGATGCTTCACTAGCTCTAACACAAAACAGAGAAAATTGTTGTAGTCATAGTTAAAAGAAAAATGTTGCATAACTCTATAGGAATATATCTCCACACTCCCTGCGAGAGAGTGGACCCCAATACTTGTGGGACTCATGTAGGATCCACCTTTTATAAGAGAGTGAGGATTGAAAATTATAAAGGTATAGTAAGGAACAAATGAAAATTAACTAATAGTCACAACTCACATGTCCTAGAAGATTGAGGCTATGATCAAGATGTTCAAACTCTTTGTTCTTCTTCCCAGTCACTATCTCTAAAATTATGACACTAAAGTTAAAACATCAGATTTAACTGAAAAGTGCCCATCTTCTGGAGACATATAACCACTACATCCAAGCAAAATAGAGAAATGAAGCCCATAATGCTTGGACAACTATATAAGGTTCATAAGAAGTGTTAATTTAACACTACAAGAAACAGGGCTATTAGTGACGACAAAAAGTCGTTGCAACAAATGCAAAGTCGTCGCAAATGAAGTTTTAGCGACCACTTATCGTCGCAAACCTGTCGCCGTAATTGATTCGTAGCAAAAACAATTTCTACGACGACAAGCAGTCATCGCAATTATATTTGCGACGACAATCGTCGCAAATGAGTCGCTGCAATTATTTCGTCGGTTACATCGTTAAGATGACATGGCATTGACTTTTTGCAATGACATTTTTCAAATTCTATCGTCGCAAAAGATGCAGATTTAGCTGACGTGGCTTATATTTTTTGCGACCACATTTGTCGTCGCAAATAATATTTTAATATTTTATTTATTTATTATTATTTTACTAATTAATGTTGTATATTACTATATATTTAAACCCATTATTAAATATAATTCATGATATAATAATAATAATAATAATAAATTAAATAAAAGGAAATAAATAATATAAAATATAAATAAAAATTATTATTGTAAAAAGTAATTAATAAAATAAAATAAAAATGTAATTATAGTTGAAATGTGCGGAAATATAAATTGTTATGTTAATAAAAATCTAATCTCCTAAATTAGCAGCATCACTAGAATCATCGTCGTTATCATCAGAAGGATTCAGAGGCAGATGACCTGAACGGACATACAACACAGGAGGAGTAACCGCTGGAAAACTCATGTTGGGGTGCATTTGAGTGATGAAATCATGCATCATTCTGACGCTCTCGTACAACTGGAGGTTTTGCTGGTAACTCTGTTGCAAGTATTCTTCTACGTTTGGGTCAGAACATGTCATAGAAGATCTTGCTGAGCGTGAGCCAGATGAAGACGCATCCCCTCGATAAAATTTTTGTGGGAGTGTGCGACCCACTCCAGTCTTGTGTCCTCTGCAGGTGCCCAAAAATTGCTCCATAATATCCTCCTCATTAACCGTTCCTGCTGCGGATGATCCAGAAGTAGCAAACTGCATCTGGATCTGCGTTTCTCTTTCTCCCTCCATTCGATGCTACAAATATTATAAGAAAAATAATTAAATACATAATGCGATTTAAATAAAAAAATATAATTAAACATTACGACTATACTTACAAAAGTCTGCTCAGCTTGGGGATTAACCCAAGTTTCCCCATGATGATGCATGTCCCCCCAGTTATCGATGACAGACATCGGCTGTTGAGTCCATGTGGTAGACTGTATAGTAGTTTAAATGTATATGAATATAGTGTAATCGATTACCAAATTAACATTTATATTGAATAAATTATTAATAAATACTTACTTTCTTCTCGCGATGTTGGGAGTACGACAGCCGACCATGAAAACTCGACCACTTTTGGTTGCTACGATTAAGTTATTGATCCCCGAATTTTTCTATTTATGATTACATTCAGCGTATGTAAAATTAACCTTTATTATATATAATAAAACAACATACAAAAGAGATTTAATTACTTGAAACTTGTCGGACATGAATCTATCACAGCAACGACCCCAATGATCTAGATTCCTGAGGTTTTTGGGAGGGTGGGCCCTAACTGCACTCTCATTTTGTGAACCACCAAGATCTTTAAAATAGTCACGGAGGTCGCTTTTCCAATCCTTATAACATTTTGCAGTCTTCCTGTCGACCACAGACCTAAGTATACCATCGGCGCGTTCAAAATCGAGGTTAAATCATTCTAGTAATACAATATAAACATGTTAAATCATTTTATTATATTAAAATTTAGATTAAATTAAAAAATAATGAAGTTGAATAATTTATACACATAGCGGTTCTTGGAATTCGGTGGGCTGAAAAAGCCTAATTCGAACTTTTCCCCTGTGGAGATTAGAGTTTGGCAGATGTCTAGGAGAGTCTGGTTTGGTTTTAATGTGTCATCAGCTGCTAAGGAATTGATGAAGCAGATAAGAGAGAAAAATAAAATGATTTTCGATGAGCTTCATTGATCGTGTATAGTTGTATGAGAGGGAATCAAAGTACAAGTAGTTACTGAGAGGCTATTCTATGTTCCCCTTCTTTTTCTTTTTTAATTTCTTTTCACTCTCTCTGTTTTTTTTTTTTTTTTTTTTTTTTTTTTTTTTTTTAATTTTCTTTTTTCTATTGAAGTTTTTTAGGAATGAGAAAGGTTGACTTTTCTATCGTGGAGCTTTCTTACCCAATAAAGTTTCAATATAAACAAATGTAAAGGTGATTCCAAAGTCAAGTACCAAACTGAAAAGAATATAAAATGGACAAGAGGATATTAGGTCATCAATCATTATCAATATCCATATTATTATAATTATTTTTAAATTTTGAATTGACCGTGTATATTAATTTTGCTTTCATACTATTTGTTTCCAGGGAGAAAAAAAAAAAAAAAAAAAAACGTCATACTATTTGATGAAGGTAAAATGATTTTTTTTTGTCAACAGTAAAATAAGTACAGAACCAGTCACTAGGGAGCCATTAATTCAAGAACAACTAAGAACAAAAGCATTTTAGTCCCAGAAGGGCAATCCAAGGGAAGCCCGAAAACCTGGAAAATGATCTTCAGCGTCTATCTTCTTGTGCAAAACCTGCTATTCAATCAAAGAAACATCTCCAAGGAGGAATAAATGGCTGATACAGAGATTTACCCCCCAAACACTGAATGGAATTCAATAGAAGTACTAAGAAAAGCTTGCTTGGTTTGCTTGCTATACATAGCACCATCCGTTGAAAATGTCCAAACCCACTCTTGTATATATCCATTTGTATTTTTGGTCAATGTGATAATCAATAAAATACGTGAACAAGTTTTCTTAGGACTTTTCTCAAATTTGCGTGCCTAGGACTTGGCAAGATTGTTGTTGGCATAGAAAATTAATATGTGGACTGAAAAAGAACAATAACAAGAACAAAAAATGTAACCAATGTCTTATTCAGTGAGGAAGATAGCTAGCTTTCCCACAAACAAATGCATTAGTGACAACTTACGACTAAATTCTCCTTGGATGCTTCACTCGATGGTAAAAAACAGAAAACAAGAAGGAAATAAAAAAATAATGAAATAATAAAAAAACTTTCATATTCACAACTACAAGTATAGAAACTGTTTTGTTTTCATCTAAATGAGTATGATGATTGGGCAACACAAATAATAATAATAATAATAATAATAATAATAATAATAATAAAGAATATGGGAACATTTCTAATTTAAACAAAAACTCCTAATAATTAGTGCAGACCAAGGAAATCTTTCTCATTGCATCAATTCGACCATCTTCTTCTTTCTTCTTTTTCCTTTTTATTTTTATCTTCCCTGTAATTTTGTAACGGTTACATCAGTAGATACATTATTTGGCTTATTCAATGATGATGATGATGATGATGAACCAGCTAACTCTGTAAAACTTCTTTCAGTGTAAAATCCAGGTAGTTTAGGTTGGAGAAGGGAAACATTTTCACTATCCAACATTAAGAGAACGGATGACATTAAGGGCCTGTCTTCTGGGAGCTTTTGCACACACAATAGTCCTACTTGGATACATCTCAACACTTCAGATGCAGGAACATTCTCCATCAAAACATCTATAAGCTCCATGGGTCTGCCCTCAATCCATAGTTTCCATGCCTAAGACAAATCAATTCTTAATTTAGGAATCACATAGTACAATTTAGAAAGACATAGTAATTAAGTAAGGAACAAAGGAAAATTAACTAAGAAGTCTCAACTCACATGTCCTAAAAGATTGAGCTTATGATCAGGATGTTCAAAGCTTTGGTTCTTCCTCCCACTCACTATCTCTAAAACCATGACACCGAAGCTAAAGACATCCGATTTCACTGAAAAGTACCCATCTATTATGTACTCTGGAGACATATATCCACTACATGCAAGCATAAAAGAGAAATAAATCCCACAATACTTGACAACTGTATAACGTTGTATGATACGGATATTATACGCATGTAGAGAAGGAAAACAAGTAGAGAGATATTGAACTTACTAGGTACCAACTATTCTCTTAGTATTTACTCCAGTTTGGTCACCTCCAAGTATTCTTGCCAAACCAAAGTCCGATATCTTAGGGTTAATCTCACTATCTAAAAGAATATTATTAGCTTTAAGATCTCTGTGAATAATTCTCAATCTTGAATCTCGATGAAGATAAAGAAGTCCGCGAGCAATCCCCACAATAATATCAAAGCGCTTCTTCCAATCAAGAGCTGTTTCCCTTGTTTGATCTGTTGCCAATTAAATTGCATTAGGTTAAATGTCAATATTTTAGACTGTAGGCACAAATAATATGAAATAGCTCAAATTTTGTAGGGTGGCTAACTGAATATGTATAAGTCCAAGCTCTTTTTAGGCATGAACTCATAGATTAACATCCTTTCTTCTTTATGAATACAGCACCCCAACAGCCTAACAAGATTCCGGTGCTGAAGTTTGGAAATCAAGGTAACCTCATTCGTGAACTCCACAAACCCTTGTCCAGAATATTTAGAAAGTCTTTTTACTGCTATTTCTTGTCCAGATGAGAGTACACCCTATAAAAAATTCATGTTGTTTGCTCAAAGATATTTAAGAAAATACACATGAGGAAGAATTGAGATTGTCTATCTTTCAATGAAGCTAATTGATCATGTTGTATAAAACATTAAGGTACCTTGTAAACAGGACCAAAACCGCCCTCACCAATTTTATTTGTGAAGGAGAAGTTGTTGGTAGCATTGTCAATAGTATCTAAGCCAAATAAAGGTAGCTCTAGATCTTCCTCCAGAAGGTTAGGATCCTGATCTTCATTTGTGTTGATTATTGTTTCCTCTGCAAAACCAGGGAAATTATATTCCAAGTTCTGTTCATGTGATCAATACAATTCTTCTCATGGCACATTTATTTTCTGTTTAGACATGTCAAATGTGTAGATATTTATGCTAGTTATCAACCAATTATATTTATACCATTCTACTGAAAGAAAATAAATAAAAAATAAAAAAAGAACCATATATTGCATTTGCATTATGCCAAAAAAAAAAAATCTTTGCAGTTGGAAAGAACTACATTCACATTATGTGCTCTTATATAATAAATAACTTCGACGGACAAAGCATTTTTATATAATTGCAAAGTGTATTGTTCAAGATGTAATTAGGGCCAAGCGACGATGAGAGTAGTTGCCGTATCCTTATCAGAATCCTTGTATCCCATATGGTCAATTTTTTTACTTGATTCAACCAAAAATGTTCATTTTTCATGAAATTAAAAAGCCTGATAAAGTTTGAAGAAGAAACAAAATCACAAGTTTTACTGCTGTTTTAGTCTATATCTTAATGAACTTTTCAACTGATTACTTTTTTGGGAGTTTCTGTGATAACACCAAATCCAAACAATTGTATAGTATGTACTTATATATTGGACTACAGAGTATAAACAAAAAATATTGTTCTTTAAACTTGTTATGTTGCCAGATGCTCAGTAGTCATTTACTTTTAAGATATTATGTCTTGTTCTTCAAACGGAAGAAAAATATCTTACCTTCGTTTATACGGGAACAGGATGTCCTCTTACAGATGAGATATCCACCCGCTAAACAAACTAGAAGAAACCCCAAAATTGCTGATATGATCACCGCAATCCTTTTGCCATTGTCTGATTCAGTGACTATAAACAACCACAACATATTGAAATGAATGAATGAAGGACATGTTTAGCAATCTGTAATGGAATAATATTCATGAGAAAGGTAGTGAATTTGAAAAGGAAACGAAAGGAATGAAAATGAGTATCATTGATTCTCTTTTCTGTTATTTACTTATTAGAATGTGGAATTAAAAACAAAATAATTCCTTAATGAGATGATCAATGTAATTACATACACGTAAATATGAACTTATTAAAGGTGTATAACTAAAATTTGTATTCGTTAACCTTTAACCCGAAATCATTAGTTAAAAGATGCAAGGATTTGTATTTTCTTTTCTTATTTTTTATAATGTGTGGGGCCAGCACCAAACTACTATTCTTAATTTTATAAGTACACAAATAATTAAATGGGAATGGAAACACAGGTTTACCCTTTTCCTTTCATGTGTAGTAACTGTAGCTAAAAAAATAATCAAAACATAAGCATAACATAGAAGAAACTTTTAAATGTTAAATGAATTAATTGTAAGAATATAATTTTTTTTTTTTTTAAAGATGGAATAAAGAATATGTAAGGTCAACGAACGTGTGCTACAATGTCAAGACACGGGGACATTTGATAACGTGCTTTTTATTGACTTTTCAAAACATCTCCTGGGGCGGCCCCGGAGCGGCCCCGGTGCGGCCCCGGGACGGCCCCGAGGGCCCCGGGGCGGCCCCGGTACGGCCCCGTTTGGCCCATCACATGCCAAATGGGAGGCACGTGACAGGCCAAATGGGAGGCCCGTCACGTGCCGAACGTTGGGCCCGCGAAGGGCCCACTGGACCAAATGAAATGGACTTTTTGTGGGCTGTTTCGCGGGCTTGGGCCGGGCCGAATAAGGGCCGTGCCGCGGGCTTACGAAGCTTTTTCCACTTCAGAGTTTAAAAAAAAAAAAGAAAAGAAAAAGAATCAAAGAGACCATATATAAGAAACAATGAAAGAGGCTTCGAGTAGATTCGCCAGTTAGAAATACTACTAAAGTTTATATATACACATTTGAATTTTCCTTAGAATATAATTATTTCGAGTACATGAGAATTCATTAACAACAAATTAAGCAAGTTTTGGGGTTGCAACATCCAAAAAATTCTCTGTGCAAAACCCCAAGAAGAAAGAGTTAGCATTGTGTTCTTAGGAATATTGTTTCCATTGAAGCTCAAGAAAAAAAAAAAAAAAAAAAAAAAAAAAAAAAAAAAAAAACCCCTTAACTATTTACGGGTCTGATTTTCTTAAAGATGTATATCTGGCTAGAATCCAACGGCTTTTAAAAACAAAATCCAAAAAACTCAAAGTTCACTAAATGGCATAGTACGCTAGTTATCAGAAATAAGATGTGTAGCAGTCGATATAAGTTTTTAATTACTCTGTATTTTAAACTTAGTAATGAAAACTGAGAAGCAAAATTAGTCTTACCAAATTCAGAAGCAGCCATTCTGATGTACAGATCCTGCCCATCATCGCTCAAAAGTTTCATATCAAGCAACTCCCCAGACCACACCACACAACCACCAAGCCGAGCCACAGCATAAGCCACACAAGAGCAGGCACTCCTACAAATCAACTCACACTCCTCCTTCCTCACCACCGTCCCGTTCACCGTAAAATCCGAACCGTACGGCAACTTTAACTGTGAAAACTTCTTGAACCCCTCGCTAGCGCTGCAGTTCAAGCGTGTCTTTAGCACACATCCACTGCCAAAATCCATCGCATCCCACTCTTCCTGTACTTTTGGAACAAACCCAGTTGGGCAATGGCAACTAGGGGTGACACTGCTGTCACAGATACCATTATGACCACAGCGCGGAAAGTTGTCACAGTCGTCTCTCTGCACCGCGTAGATGCTAACCCACTCACCTCTCTCGTTGTTCCACCGGAGCTGCTCAGGAGAACCCGACGGTTTTAACCAGAATCTGGTTACCGTGGAATTATTGGCGTCGTCGAAAGTAAAATAGATATGGGTTTCATTAACAAGATAGGTGGCTTTAAAGAACGAATTGTCTTGGTCTTTGCCTGGTCGGACACCATTCCAAGGCCCATTTCTGTATAAGATATCTTTGCCTTTGCGCAAAAGTACCTGAGGAAGCTTACGAGGGTCTACTTCGTATGTGAAGATTCCGGTGGATGGATCTTGGGAGCTGTTCCAGGAGGTTAGCTTCCAATTTTGACCCGTTACAAAGTCCCGACCTAGCTTCATGCCTGATACGAGCGAATCACAGGGATGGTCGAAACTCTGCCACGCGTAGTTTTCGTTGTTACCATCTTTAACCACGAGGTTTCCGGTGTTCAAGAGCTGCAAAGTTGGATCTTTCGCTGATGAATTTGAGGACCATACAGGGTCCTCTGTTTTGTTGCTGAGGATTACTACGTTTCCGGTTTCGGTGATTTTAAGGACGCCTGAAAAGTCTGTGAGAGGGTTGTTTCTGTTGGCGACCCAGACGGCTGTGAGTTCAGCAACATTCATGAACCATATTCCCACGTATCGGATTGTAGAATTCTGTGGACCGAAAAAGCCTAATTTGAATTTTTCGCCGGCGGAGACCAAAGTTTGGCCGTCTAGGAGAGTTTGGTTTAGTTTTAAGGTGTCACCAGCTGCTAAGGAACTGTGGAAGCAGATAAGAGAGAAGAAGAATATGATTTTAATGGGTTTCATTGGTTATGTGTATAGTTGTATCGTGAAAGCGAATCAGAGTACAACTGAGAGGCAAGGTTTTTCTGTGTTTTCTTCTCCGTGTTTTTTGTTTCTTTCACGCATCTTTTAAGTTAAAATTCTCTCCTTTCATACGTTCTATCTGAAAGAGGAAGCTTGACTGGTCTAATATACGTTTTATAAAATGAAGTTGGAAGAAACTAATATATAGTGTGTAGATCCTAAAGTCATATATACCAAATCAAATAATATAATATAGACAAGTGGATGAATATTATGATTTATAAATTACTATCATATCAACGGTGTTATTATTATTTATTATTTTGGAATGGACCGTGTAAATGAATTTTTCTTTGCCATCTTTGTCACCGTGATACTTGTGAGAGAATAAATGGTCATTTTTAATTTACTAGGAAGCCATTCTTAATTTACTGACCCTTGGAAACCAGGAAAAGGACAGATTAACAGAGTTCCCTAATTCAAGCACAGTTAAAAACAAAGGCCAATTAAGTTCCAAAAAGGCAATGGCCAATGAGTGCTAGCTCCCAGGAAAACACCCTAAAAGCTGGAAAAATGATCTTCAGTGCCATCTTCGAGGAGCGATAAATGGGTGATAAAGAGATTTACATTTTACACCGGAAACACTGATGAGATTCAATACAAATACTATGAAAAGCTTGCATGATTGCTACACAAGCGCCATCCGTTGAAAAAGTCCAAACCAACTCCTGTCTCCATGTTTATTTGGTCAATATAAGAATCATTGACATATATTTACAATTTTTATTTGGACTATTTAAAAGCAGCTGACTTTGGGAACCAATCTGTATTCAGCGTGTAAGATAGCTTCCCCACATACAATGCATTGTTGACGACTCAATTTCTTCTCAGATGCTTCACTCGATCATATAAAATAGAAAAAAAAAAAAAAAAAACTGCCTTATTCATAGTTATCTATCACACGTAAACTAACTACGTTGACTTCATCTAGAAGAGTACTATGATTAGAAGATACATAAGAATAAAAAAGAATATTGGAATGTTCCTAATTTCAACAAAAACTCTAAGGGGCCGTTCACTTCGTAGATTACACTCGAGTAAGCCTAACTCGAGTGTGAAATTGGGCCGAGTTATGCGTTCACTAAACGCAACTTGAATTTCAAACTCGAATCGGTGAGTTTCACTCATCTCTCATTTTTTCATTACTCAAATTTAGTTCTACAGTGCTACTTGCCTCTACAGAAAAGGACATTTCTTTGTAATTAGAGTTTGGCTTTAGTACAAGTGAACACAAAACTCAAATTTTAAATGTCAAATCAATTTCCTCCTAAACACTTCACTCAAAGTCCAAACTAAACTCAAATTTTTTGCAACTCAAATCAACAAATTTGAATTAGTGAAGTGAATGCGCCCTAAGAATTAATGTAGAACAACAATTTGATCATCTTATTTTTTTCTTCTTTTTCTTTTTCCATTTTATTTCTTTCTCCCTTGTAATGTTGTAACTGTTAAGTGAGTAGAAATACGATTTGGCTTATTCAATAATGATGATGAAGAATCAGTTGTCTCTGTAAAAGTTCCTTCGGTGTAAAATCCAGGTAGCTTAGGTTGAGGCAAGAAAGAAAATTCATTATCCAACATGAAGAGAACGGAGGACACATCAATGGCCTCTCTTTAGGGCGCTTTTGAACATACAATAATTCTACTTTGATACATCTCAACACTTCTGATGTAGGAACATTCTCCATCAAAACATCAATGAACTCCATGGCCCTGCCTTCATCCATAGTTTCCATGCCTAAAACAAATCAAGAATTAATATAGGAATAAATATAATAAAAATGAGAAAAACATAATAAAAAAGGAACATAAAGTAAAATTAACTACCAAGTCTTAACTCACATGTCCTAAAAGATTGAGATTATGCTGAGAATGTTCAAATCCTCTGTTCTTCTTGCCACTCACTATCTCCAAAACCATGACACCAAAGCTAAAGATGTCAGATTTCAACGAAAAGTGCATGTCGATTACGTATTCTAGAGACAAATAACCACTACATCCAAGCAAAGCGAACAAAGGAGTCAGTTTAATGTTTGACAACTATATATAAGGTTGATACAAAATGGAAATTGCACTTGAGTAGCAAAGAAACACAATTAGATGCATTTTGAACTTACTATGTACCAACTACTCTCTTAGTATTTACTTGAGTTGTATGGTCACCTCCAAATATTCTTGCCAACCTAAAGTCTGATATCTTAGGGTTAATCTCACAATCTAAGTGAGTGTTACTGACTTTAAGATCTCTATGAATAATTCTCATCCTTGAATCTCAATGGAGATAAAAAAGTCCTCGAGCCATCCCTACTATAATATCAAAGCAGATTTGACTGTGATATCTGCTTTTATAAAAAAAAGTCCTCGACCCAACGATTTCACGGAAGAATATGATTACATCACTACAATTTCATAGAGTTGATTTTGAAAGAAGATTTGACTTGTGACGACCCTCCTATGAGGCCGCCACTGTAACTTAAACTTTAACTTGTACTTACTGGGGTTTCTTAAAATATGCGGAACATTTTTTTTTTTTTTTATATAAGAAGGAATACTTTCATAATTTGTAACAATAATTTCAAATAAGTGAATCACTAAATTTCTTAAAGCTTTTCTTAATTTTAGTTAAGATAAAACCTTTTAGGAATATCCTTCAAATGGAATAGCATTTGAACTCTTGTTTTAAATACTCTTTAAAAGCTTTTCTAAAACTAGTCATTTCAATCGGCCATCTCATTTGACTTTAAAACAGATTTCGTGAGAAATCTTAAATTCAAGTACATCTTAAAGTCCTTCTAAAATTACTCATTTAAATCGTCATGTTTAAAATTCATTTATTTGTTGCATGTACTGTTGCAACGTTCTAAAACTTAAATACTCAAAACTAGGGTTGTTAGTTACAACCTTGGTTTTCTTAACATACATATGTACGTATACTTTTTAAACATACATACTTGAAACTTTTGAATCATATAGACATATACATGATTTTTCTTAAACTTACTGCGGAAAATAACTGCGTGAGCGGTATCCATTCCCATCT